CCACTACCTTTGTTCAACAATGGCACAAAAATGCCTGTGAAGCATGGAACAGTCAGATAAGAATTGATCAGGGAATCCGTGAATGGCTAGTGGATCTGGAAAACGCTGTATCAATATTGGGAGATGAAGTACATAGCTTTAAAAAGCTAGTCAGACTGCAATGTGATTGGAATGTTACTGAGTTCTGTATTACACCACATCCTTACAATGATAGTGAGCATGCCTGGAACACTATAAGGTGGTATTTAAAGGGCCACCTCAAGGACAATCTCACATTAGATATAGATTTATTGCAAGCTAAAGTAAAACATACGCAAGATGCTAAATTATCATTGCTACCTGAATCTGAACTATTTGATGGTATACATACTGGCTTATCAAAGATGTTTCCTACTGGCTGGATAAAAACTATTGGCAGTGACCTTATTGGAACTGTTATATCAGGCTGCATATTTTTCATTATTTTCTGCTTAGTCCTCAGATGCACGAGAAAAACCTTCCGAGAACTGACTAAGAGAGAAACTGCCCAGACCGCCTACCTCCTCTTACAAAAACCAAAAGGGGGAAATGCTGCAGAAGACCATAGCAGCATTCTTGCTAGGCTTTAAGCCTAAGGAAAAATAAATTCCAAATGGGTGACTGGGGGGATATGTGATCTACTGATTCCCATAATCATTATACCAGATTGCCTGTGCTTTGGACTCTCAGGCCGGAGGGGAATATGTTATCAGGCATGAAGGCAAGGGTCTTAGGAACGCCCGGCCCTTGCAGGAACAGAACGCCGCCTGCATACCTTGCTGATTGTCTTTAAGATACTCCTCAAGGGAATGACCTTGGATGGGCTGGTGTGCTTCGGGGGATGAAGAATAGAACCTTTGGACTCTGGCCTGCGTGTCCCTGCAGGCATGAGTTTCTGCTATTGTACTTGCTTGTGATTCTTTACCCGCAAATAAATATGTGGCGATCCGAGGGACCTCACTCCAGTCTTTGAGGCTGATGGTCCCCTGTCCCATTGAATAATATAGATTGTGTTCTGTCTATTAATTCTGTCTGCCCCTTCGGCTGGCTGCCTAGCTGATCTCGGCGGCACCTACCATAGAGATTTTCTGTGAGAAGTAAAAAGCCTCATCCAAAGGAGTCACTGAAAAGGGGGAGAGGAGTAGAGTAGAATGGGAATTGGAAAGGAAGAGATAACCACTATCTTTATTTGAAAATACATTTAGCTAGTCAAGTTCCATAGAAAACTATGCTGGAATATTGATTGGGATTGCATGAGATCTATGGATTACTCTGGGAAGACTTGAGATTTTTTCCATTTTTGAATGTTCCTCTTCATGAAAATGTAATGTCTCTAGATTTAGTCCTACTTTAATATCTTACAATAAATTTTTGCAATTTTCTACATAAGGGTGTTCCATGCTTTTTGTTAGATTTATTCCTGAGTCTTATTTTCGTTTTGTGGCTATGTTCTTTTATTGCTATTGTGAATTATATCTCTTTTTATAATATTTTTACTTTGGGGCTGGTAACTAAAAATGCAATCAACCTTTGGATGCCACTTTTATATCTGTCAAACTTGCTAAATTCTCTTATAGATTATAATAATTTATGTGTAGAGTTTTTGTTTTTCTGTGTATAGAATCACATCATCTATCAATAATTACAGTCTTCCTTCTTCTCTTCCAATCATTTCACATTTCCTTCTTGCGTTGTGTTGGTTAAACCTTCCAGTGTAGTGGTGAATAGATGTGGTAGCAAGCACCCCTCTTTTATACCTGATTCTAACAGGAAGGTTCACCTTTGAATGGAAGGTTTGTTCTTGGTTTTATAGATGCTCTTTAATTTGCATTTAATTTGAATTTTGTTCGACTGCCAGTTTGCAGGGAATGCTTTCCGTTTTCATTGTGTTGAACTGCATACAATAATCCGTTCTAGATATTTCCTTGACATAGATTGCTACCCCCAGCTTTTTAATTTAACTACATTTGATTCTTTTGAATAAGTTAGATTTTTAATTGCTTTCAGTCATGAATATCATTACATGACATTTCAGAGGTGTTAATAATAACAATAATAATGATGATGGCAAATGCTGACTTTCATTTATTGATTTTCTATTAGATGCAAAGTATGGTGAGTGGTTTTGTTTTATTGCATGATTTATCCCTGCTTCTTTCAATGATCTCCAAATAAGTGAGTCAACAAAGTAAAATACAATTGATCTGAGTCCCACGTAGTAGGTAAAAGTGTCTGGTTATAAACTCAGCTTGGGATAATTATGTAACCTGTGCTGGTTAGAGGATGCAACATTGTCTTACTTACTTGATAGTTCTGAGATTCTTCCTACAATACAAACAGCAACTTAATTTTGTTTATCTATCTGGAACCACATAACACCTCAGCCCATTAACTTTCCCAATTTTCTTCCATGTCTTCTCCTAAAAATTATATTTGTCACAATTGTTCTTCTTTCTTTTCCGTGGCTGTTATCTTCAATAGCATGAGATTTTGTGGGTTTAGCTAAGCATTGGTGGTACTGTAGTTGCTGAAATAAGGAATGTTGAAACTGGAAGGTAGACTAGAAAAAAGCCACGTCTAAGAAAAAAAGCAAGGAGTATTTGAGGTATAGCATTCTAGCACATAATTGAATGTGTTGTGTAGATTACAAAAAAAAGCACCATTCTGCTCTGCTGAAAGAAGGCAAAATAATAGAGATGGTCTCCCACTGCGAACTTGATGACTAGACTGCCTCCATTTATTATAGAGATGGTGAGGCAAAACAGGAGTTTGACTTGAATTTGGAGAAAAAAGAATTTTCCAGAACCATGAAGAAGAGTTAAGTTTCTGAGCAGATACAACACGGCATGCGGGTTCATGGTTTAGAGTGTGTGCGCAAAAGCAGCCAAGTTCCAGAGAATGACTATTACCATTTAGTCAAGTCTGTTGTTTCAGGATTTAGACAAATATGATGTGATTGCTTGACAGCTGTCCCTGAATCACTGCTGGACATCATGAAGTTTGGGGTAGAGTGTCCACGTGAGAGATGCTTCCTCTGCCAGGGCCCATCCTGGCCTCTAGACTAGAAACAACAGGCTTTCTGTGATCACAATAAGATTGGTCACTGGAGTCCTCTGAACTATTACCCAGATCCAGAGCCAACATCCTGCTGAGTTGTAATGTGGCTTATTATTAATGATAGTTGTGCACAGTGTTATGAAACCAGCTCTGAGGATAACTTTAACACTTACCAAAGGAGAAAGGTGCACTCTATCCTCTGTAATAATTCTCATGACCAAAACAAAGCAATTTAAGTCAACCTTTTTTCAAAAGGAAAACATATAAATTTTAAAAAAGATGGATATTACAATCTAGGTCAGGGAAATATTTCAATCTATAGTCAAGTGTTTAAAAATTAATTATAAAGACAAGGCAAGGTTGGATTTTTTTTTTCCCACACAGAGACAACTTGAGTCAATTTCTACCAGGTCAAACCAAGGAGAATGCAAGAACAAATAACTAATGAGTATTTTAGAAGTTAAAAATTAAATTGCAAAACCAAAGTCACATTTTCTGACTTGGATAATAATTCAGGGTTAGAAATATTTTACATGAAATTTGAATTCTGAAGTTGTTGATTATTTATCGCAGGGTCCAGAGTCCGTCAAAAATGACTCAGGGAGGGCTGGCCCCGTGGCCGAGTGGTTAAGTTCGCGCGCTCCGCTGCAGGCGGCCCAGTGTTTCGTCGGTTCGAATCCTGGGCGCGGACATGGCACTGCTCGTCAGACCACGCTGAGGCAGCGTCCCACATGTCACAACTAGAGGAACCCACAACGAAGAATACACAACTATGTACCGGGGGGCTTTGGGGAGAAAAAGGAAAAAATAAAATCTTTAAAAAAAAAAAAAATGACTCAGGGAAAAATCTTTTACCCAGGAAAGTGAAATTTACATCCTCTCCCCCTGTATAATGACTTAGATCACCCACGCTTAAATTTCCAAAGTGCGAGTAGAACAAATCTCTTTTTCTTTTCTCTTCCTATCTTATAAAGAGTATAATAAAACTTACCTGAAAGAATTATGAGGATGACATACAATAAATGCTTGGAAGAATGGCTTTGATTCCCAAGACCTGGGCTCCTCCTTCTGAATTCTTGATTTCAGTGATAGACTCTGCCAGGCTCCCACTCCCCCACCAGGGTGCTGGGAAGTGGTTTACTCTCCCACAATACAGTTCAAATAGTCATAAATTGTCAAACTCAGAATCCAAAGGAGATCTCCTCACTAGCCATAAACTAAGAAGGAAAAAAGTCAAAGTGATGAGCAGGAGCTGAAGTCAGGAGGGGTCATAAAAGTGCAGAACCACATTTAATTTTCCATGACTGGGGACTGATTCTAATGCTTATAGCAAAGGAGTCTGGATTGCAGGCACAGAGCATGCAGGGAGCTAAAAATGAACTATATATAAAGCTGGGAATCTGAAGGTGTTGCCTCATCTGTGAGATGAGGATAAGCAGAGCTACACGCAAGCTTGGAAAGCAGTCAAGCTGTTTTCAACTATGTGGGCATATAGATGAAAACAAGTCAACCAAAAGAAATTGAGAGAGCTTGGCCTCCACTGTGCCCACGTGGGTGTTCCAAAGTGAATTATAGAATGGTCCACGTTGCATGATAGCATGTATAATTTAGAAACAGTACAAAGTATTATTTTATATAGTTTGTGAACACACCTATAGATAGTAAAAATGGAAATATATGGAGAAACCTCACTAAATTTATGTGAGATGTTTTTGTTATTGTTGTTTTTGTATGTGAGAAAGGAGAAAGGACCAGGGAAAGCAACAGAGTGAAGTTCAAGTTTATCTGTAATTTTATAGTTCATGTATTTCAAAGAAGAAAAAATTAACAAAATTTCAAAGGGAGAAAACACAAAAATCACAAGAAAAAAACAAAAAAAGTCCTAAACTTCTGTATTTAATTATAATAGTCTCTCTATTTTTAAGCTTTTCAGAACAGAACTAAAGCCATTAAAGATACCACAGAGCAAAGCAAAAACCACACGCAGATTTCTGATCTTGAGAACGCTTCTGAGGTTTTTGGGAGACACCTGAGGAGAAAGGTGGAGGGGATCACGTCAGCGGAGGAGGAGGCGGAGCTGCGGAGGGGGTTCAGATTCCAAGTTGCGTACCTCACATTTCTGAAAACTTCCCCAAAGTCCACTTGGCAGGAAGCACTTCTCATTCCACTTCTAGTTTGAGGAATCTCATTAATGATTGGCAGCTCAAGTCCCAGGTGGCAAAGAATCCTCAGCAATCTTCTGACAAGGCAGTAAAGAGAGAAGAGAGAGGGCGTGAGGAAGGACAGCTTCTAAATTGAAGTCCTCCTTCAGACACTGAGTCGGTAAGTCACTTATCTTGGTGTTGAAGCCAAAGATCTCTAATGGTCCTTTCTGTGTAACAGCTGACAATTTTTATATACCCCCAAGTCTCAGGTTTTCTCATATTGATAGAAAAAAAATGTGAGTGAAAAATGTAACGAGGTGGAGAGAAGGGAGGTAGAAGCAGAAAGCTGAAGTTTTGTGCCTGATCCTCCCCAAACTTTGAACAATACCAGCTGTGGAAGACATTTCCAAGAAACAGGCACTCTAGTGAAGCTGAATTTGGGGGGTTAAATCCGGGGGCTTGTGAACAAATATCAGCTCTTTCATTTACCAACTGGGCGACCTGGACCAAGAGGGTCAGTAATATCTCCATCTGGGGTTGATAAAAACTGTCTGGTGCAGTAGTTAATAACAGTGGCTATAATAATTTGTGTTATACCAACAGCTTGTGGGACACACAGGAAGAGCTGTAGGGTAACTGTGACGAAACACTCCAAATAAGAAAGAATCGACAAACACATCTCCATCTCTTACATGAAGATTCACTGCCCCAAAGAAGGTTGTTCTGGGCTTTTCTCCTGGACAGATTTACTGCAGCACTGGGGCTATTCCCAGTGTCCTGAAGGACGCTAGCCTTTTTGTAATGAAATTCATTGACTTAGTTTCCTACTCAGATCAGTTAGGGTCCAGGGCTTTGACCTAAGACAGGGCTCGGGGTGGCTCTGATCCAAGACAGTATCTAGAGGAATGCTGAGTCAAGAACCAAAGAGACAGTACAAAATTTAACCAAACTAAGATGGCTGGGGCTGGAAGAGGAAGCACAGAGATGAGGCGATGGAGTAGTCACCAGGTCAGCAGAAGATGGTGGGCCGAGGGCAGCTGGAAGGAGGTAACCAGGGGGAGTCCTCAAGGCAGGAATGTAGAAGCTACAACTTTTTGATGGTACTTGTGACCTTACAGAGGTGTCAGGGGGATGCTATTAGTAGGACAGCCCTGGCCTGTAAACCTAACAGTCTCTGCAGGAAGCTGATACTCAGTGTGATTCCCTGTGAGCACTGCTGCAAGCCAGAAACATTTCAGGATGCCATAAACAGTCTCTGACCCAGGCCACCAGTGTGGTTTTCTGGACCAATAGTGGAAGATAAAGGTAGCTGTTAAAAATACATGTATACATATATATACACATACATACATACACACACATAGACATATATACATATACAAAACATATATAACAAAACACATATCGAACATTCACATATAATATATATTAATTATATATGTATATATATAGATGTGTGTGAATAAATATATATAAAACTATAAGTTGTTTCTTTTGTATAGCCCTAAGCTATACAAAAGTATAACCATTGTAACCCCACTGTCTGGGCATCCAGCCACAAAATCTTCTTGAGGTCACCAAGCTACCCTGGAATTCAGATACTCCCTTGACAGCCAAATGCTCTCAGAATTTTCTTTTATGTGAATCCCTATTCACTGTCTATGCCTAACCACCTGTTTAGCTGTGTGAGAGAATGCTTACAAAATCTCCTGGGAGAATGATGTCCATGTATACGGTCACATCTGTTGGGATTGGGCACTCAGGTTTCCAGGACAAGGCATGTCTGGCTGTCTGGAATAGAGATAATAAAAAACTAAAAGTGCTTGAAATTACCTAAAAGTTATTATTTAAGTTTCTGCTTCTATCAAAGCTGCTATTCTGAGCACAATGTTAATAAATACTGAGATTCTACTTCGTGTTTCTAAGCCTTGAAAGCAACTTGAAAATGGACAAATACCCTCCATAGAATATAAGAACTTCACTGGGGCTACACCCTAGATAGATAGACCCAGAGCTGGAGGGCTCAAGAACTGAGTCCTGCCTTGGGAGGAAGTTCCCAAGGATCAGTCAGAGGCACACAGTTAAGAATGGACCAAGTTGTGGTAAGCCATGAATGTGGCATACCATCATGTTTTCATCCAATGGAATTCAGCATCAAACTCAGGTGACAGGATCTTGCTCTCCATCTTAAGGGGCCAGCTGTTAGGTAGTCAAAGCATAAAAGAAGAGAATAAAATAAGCTTAGTTTCTAGATCACCCTGGAATGGCTAGAGGCTTTTTCTTCTCTCAAATAATAATGGCATCATGCGCAAAGTTTGGCTGGATAGAGTGTCACTGTCCGGGCAGTCAACAACCTGATCAACAGTAATAAAATGGCTCAAGATGGTCCTTCATAAGCCAGAGGATGGTCAGAATATTACACAGATCAGACAACATCAGTGTTTGTGATGCCAACAAGCTGCAGGTACCTGTAAGGATCCCTGTCTCCTGGAACTGGTCCAGGAGCCACAGGCAGTGGAAATGAATAACACTTGGAATTTAATTGTAGTAGTTGTGATAGGTTGGAACCCTCCTTATTGTTCTTTTCAGTGAGAATCACCACCCCACGGGAACTCGGAGGGCCTAATGAACCTCCCAATATATTCATTTTTTCAGTGGACTTTGATCTGAGTGTCTCATGATAGAACATGCAACAGGAATGAACATGGAACTCAGGAACCAGATAGATTTCCAATTTGTTCTTTCAACAGGAAAAATAGACCTTTGCTTCCTGAGGAAAAAAAAAACTACTTCCTTGTAAATTGCCTGTCTTTCTGGAATCCCTGGAACAGGGGTGTCAAGTGACATAAAACTCATTAGAAAACTTTTTAAATGCTGGTGGCAAAATGAAAAATGTGAGTTTATCAGTAGATGATTGCATCAAGTGCAGACGCCCAAAGGGAAGTTATCTAATGGGTTTCCTTACCCTGGTGGTCAGCTGGTGAATATTCCACAACTGGCTTACCAGGGGAAAAGTGCAGACACAAACACATACAGGTTTGTTATAAATTCTAGTGATATAAAGGATCTGGAGCGCACAATTCACAAATAATAATAAAATATAAAATACTGTTTATTATAAATTCCATAGAGCCAATTGATTCTCATGGAATGCTTTCCTTTTTTCCAGATTTACTGAGGTATAATTAACAAATAGGAATTGTATATATATTTAAAGTGTACAACTTTCATTTATTTTGCTAAACTCTTGAGTAGACCATAGGCAACCTATGGTTGAAATTCAACCACAACTAGACAAATGAAATTGCATCCCAGTGTGCCAATTCTTTCTGATATATTTATTCTCATTAAATCTCATCGATGATCTATTGAATTATTTCTCACTCTATTACAAATTATATTCATTAAACTGAAATCACTTTCAGCTTCAATTGAAATTACAGCTGAATTACAATAGTTCTAACTATTCTTTTCAGCTTTTGTATAGTTGCAAGAGTTGAAGCGTTGTTTTATTCTATGGTACTATCTACAAAATGCATAAATTGTTCAAATTAACTTCATGTTAGTAAAATTCACAATACCACTTGAGGGTTAACAGAAACTGTCTGATACTAATGTACTTACATTATTTTTAAAATAACACATATCTTCAGCTAAAGTACTTAATCTGTTTTCCAGTTACATCTATAACTTCAGTGTGATTTTCTATTTCTTGCAAAATCCACTCTGAGTTTTTATAATTCTATCACCAACAACAGTACCATAAAATCAGACTATAAATAAATGTTTGATGAATATCCAATTAAGCAAAAAAGTCACTCATATCATCAATAATGAGTATAATTCTAACATAATATTGTTTGATAATTTCTAAAGTTTAGGAAATCAATAAATCAAGCCCAGATTTGTAGCATTTGCCATTTTTTTGGTGCACAAGCTCTGATCACGGCCAATTTCAAGCTAACAACATGACATCATTGAATTCAGAGCTAAGAAGAGATACACAATAGCCTGCCTTTATGTAATATTCCCACTATAGAGATGCAAGAAACACAAAAGACCTCAAGAGCATAGCTGACAGTAAAATGCAGTAAAATATTATGAAATGATAATCTTTAAATATTTATTACTTTTTTAAAGTATAATTTGTTTAAATTTATATAATTTAATTGCTAATAGTGGCTGTTTTCAACAATCAGCTTGCAAAATTCCTAAAAATTTAACAATCTGCTTTTGGGGGCTCATGTGAGCTGACTCTGGGACACAACTGCCTTACCCTGTACTCTCCTCTCTGAGGGGACCATGTTGGGGTTCTCTCTTGCTTTCCTATCTCAATTCAGGTTCTTCCATGCCTTCATCTATTTATACAATTTTGCCCTCTGATATAACTTAACATCCCTGAGGCTGTCTGTTGTCTCATTTTTCTTTTTAGGGCCTCTATTTAACCTTCTTCTACAAAAAGCTAACCACCCTCCCATCAAGAAATTATTGAATTTCTTCAGTGAGGTAGATGTCAACTGTTGCGCAGCCCTCAACAGAGTCTAAGAAAGGGAAAACTAAGAGTGTTCCAATATCAATAGTTCAGGGGACTCAGAGTCTCAAGCCCCCATTCTTGGATGCTAAAATGGAGTGTATTCAAACCTGTGGGCATTATTTCTGAACTCAGACCCAGCTGCTAAGGGATGACATTTTGATCATCAAGTTTTACCTCCATTTTCCCTGCCAGATTATATATATAGTTTCATTTTTTCACACTATGGGTCAGTTAAAAGCAACATCACAATCCCAGCTACTTATTAGTTAAACCAAATACATCCCATTCACAACAGAAACACTGTTCACTTGGGGCAGTCATGGGATTCATGTGATTATTAGCACTTCACTAAGCATTTCCTCTTCTTGGCCAGTCATTAAGGCTCCAGAATCTAATCTTTCCATCATGTAACCAAAAATAAGTATACAGAGGCTGATGCCCTGTGAAGAACCCATAGATTTACCTCTTAACTGGGGTTAATCTTGGAGTGGCTTAGAATGGAAATCTGACATTCAGAATGTTCCAGTCGAAACAGTCCCACAGTAGGGGGATGGTAAAGTCTCACAGCTAGAGAATTACATTGACTGACATCATAACAGAGCATTGAAGTGAGAATAAATATCACTCATGGGGAAAAGCTGTTAATGGAAACAATATATTTCTGTTCAGCATTGCTAGGTGGCACAAGACAATGCAGGTGGTCATGTCTTTGTCAAATGGTAAAATATCTCCCAAACAGTCTTTGCACTTAGAATCAGGGTAATTTCTCTAAGTAAAATGGCCTGGCCACCCTATGGAATTAGAATGTCCACTGCCAAGATTTGAAGAGACACTTCTTCAAAGAAGATACATTGATAGCAGATGAGCACATGAAAAGTGCTCGATTTCATTAGAGAAATGCAAATTAAAACCACTATTCCATTTCTATAAAATTTCTAGAAAACACAAGCTAATCTGTATCACAGAAAGCAGATCATTGGTTGCCAGGGTGGAAGAGCAAGACAAATGGGATGAGCTGGGAGATGCTGCAGGCAAGAATCACAAAAGGACGGAAGGAAACTTTTAGGCAGTAACGTATATGTTCACTATTCTGATTGCATTGACTGTCTCATGGCTGTATACATCCTTCGAAACTTATGAAATTGTACACTTTATGTAAGCTTAGTTCACTATATGTCAGTTATCCCTCAATAAATCTGGTTAAGGAAAAAAATGACTAGAAATAGAGGGGAGACATCCAAAGGCCAAACTCTGAACATGACCTGCAATCAAGGAGGATAATTTTAACATGAAAAGAAAATCGTAATCACATTTAAATGGAATCATTTTTAAACCACGATTCCATAATAACTGTCTAAAAAGGAGACTGATGTAAGAAATACTAATATAATAGCTGTAACACAAAAGAAGGATGACATTATTAGCGATATTTTAAAAATAAATTTTAATATGTAGAAAAGAATAGACAGAAGTGTGTTCCCCTCCTTTTTTTAAAAGTATATATGTCTACATATGAAGTTCGTTTATATGAAGAATGGATGGATTTGTGTCCTGGAAGTAGGGCAAATAGTTGAAGAAAAATAGGATCAAGAACACAAAAGATCAATCAACCCTGGTAATCACACACTGAGAAACAGTGAGAAGCAGAAGCAACACTGCTGGCCATGTGTCACCGGAGACAGTCTAACTGTATACACTCATGGACAGCCTACTGCCCTGAATCAAGTCCTCATCTCCTGGGGATAAACACCTCTGAGTAATGAAACTTTTCATTATAAATAGGTGCTAAGAGGTATGCCTCAGTTTGCACAAATGGTATTAGACCAGGTCTAGTTAAGTGCTAGTGTTTAAATATTTAAGAGGACTTTATTTATTAAATCAACAAGTTTGATTTATTAGCAGCATAAGTAGTTATATATTTTGAAACTTTTAAAGAGATTTATAAATTTAATAAATTGAGCAGTAACATAGCACAAATATTGTAACTGTATACACAGCACAACACAAAAATCCCCTTTGGTGTTAAAGATTATAATATTGTAAGTAGCAAAGATAGTTTTAGTTCTCTTATAGGCAGAAAGGTGAAGATCTCCATGTTAGTTGTTTCTAGAACTCTGTAGACACATCAGCTTGTGGCCAAAAATAATATGAGATTAGAATTGTATCATCTCATTGTGCAAATTTGGTCCCCAATTATTAGTGACAGACATATCAACAACACTCACAGTGGGTCAAATGAGGAAGCAATATGGGAGCCATCAGGGGCACCAGAAGCCAGGTTCTCAAGTGCAGTAGAGGATTCCAGAGGAGCACGGCTCTGAGGTGACCCACCTCTGTGGCAGCTCCAGCGACAATGACAGTAAACTATACAGTTACCACTTGCTGAATTCTAGGCGTGTTCGGTCAATTGAATCCTAACAATCCTTGATGAAGCTGCTGTTGTTGTTATTGCTATTACTAACAACAGGTGGGAAACTGAAACACACAAATTTGCTCCTGGTGGCACTTGGCACATTAGATCAATTACCAACCTGGATTTGAATTTAGAAATACCTAGCTCCAAAGCTCTTAAACTGGCACATAGTGAGCACTCTAGATCCTAAATAATAAACAATTCCAAACCTTAGGTGCAGTACACCTGTTGTATCGAGCCAAGACGGGGTAGTGATCCTCCCTATACCCCATCCAGATGGAATGGCCCCGTTTTTGTTTGCTTGTTGCCCACTGATTAGATGTCTTAAAGGAGCCTCTTTCTCTTGATTGACACCTGTGGACTGCGTATCACCCTGATAGGTGAGAAATAGTCATCAGGAGAGAATGCAATGGCCACCATGACAGAGTTGAGTTCCACAGAAGAAAAGAATAAGTACTCCCAAGATACGCAAGTGGATGAGAAGCTCATTCTCAGGAAAGGTAAACTCAACCTCGGCTACTTGGTTTTAGGATTTTATGGGGGGTTCTTTATCTACAATGTGATAATACAAAGAAATGAATTTATATTTTGTAAGTTGTTTAATTCTTTTAGAAAATCAGATACTATTAATGCACATTTTGCAAATACATGAAGGAAACAAATACCACTATTCTAAAAATGTCTTTTATTTTTGATGATTACCTTCTAATCTTTGTCCATATATATTTACATTCTCGATAATTGCTACCAAATATCTACACGCAGTATTGTGTATTCTGCTTGTTATTGCATGTAATTTTATAAACATAATTGTATTTCTTAATTACGTAAAGTAAGAAAAATTAATTACAGAAGGTTTGAAAAGTCAAGAAATGAAAAAAAGTTTTTAATAAGCTTAATTCAACCACTGTAATTTGTTTTTATTGTCTTCCTTTTATATTTATATGTTACATAGTTCTATGCTGTATATTTTTCAATTTGACAACAGTTACTTTTCCATACACTTTATAATACTCACAATCATTATTCTTAAAGGATATATATTATTATTCCAATACATCCAATAGTTAAAGTATTATTTACCTGAAAAATCCTCCTGTGGTTGGATATTTAAGTTGTGGAGGTTTGTTACTTAGCTATAATATAGATGTTGTTACATATTATTATGTTTATATGTTTATATAAACATTATATGTTTATAATGTTGTATGTATATAACATATATACTATGTGTTATAGATATGTTATATATTATATGTGTATATTATATATATTATATACATTATATATTATAACATATATATTCTAGGATATATATAAAATATATATATGAATGTCGTTTAATATAAGACTTGTCTACAGTTGGAATTTTTATTTCCTCAGGGTTTATTCCTAAGAAATTAAAAATTTTAAGCAAAAGTTATAAACATTTCATTTCCATTAGCCACTATAGAACCTTAGGGTGTTTTTGGGTTTTTCTTTGAGGAAGATTAGCCCTGAGCTTACATCTGCTGCTAATCCTCCTCTTTTTGCTGAGGAAGTCTGGCCCTCAGCTAACATCCGTGCCCATCTTCCTCTACTTTATATGTGGGACTCCTACCACAGCCTGGCTTGCCAAGCAGTGCCATGTCCACGCCCGGGATACGAACTGGCGAACCCCAGGCCGCCAAAGCGGAACATGCACACATAACTGCTGCACCACCGGGCAGGCCCCAGAACCTTAGTTTTTAATATGAGCAAAAGTGAAGTCCCAGAGACGATTCTGAGCAAAAGAGGGGGTGATCTAATTTATGGCATGACAATTTACTCCAATTGCTGTATTGAGAATAGATTGGAAGCAGGAAGTCGAGTTGAAGGCTATTGCAAAAATCCAGTCAAGACATGTTGGTAGAATCACATGGAAGAGACTCTAAACCAAAAGAAGCAGTGGCCCTGGTGAGAAGTGGTTGGATTCTACGTACATTTTGAATGTAAAGACAGCAGTATGTACCAGACAGACTGGACATAAGATGTAAAAGAAAGAAATCAAGGATAATTATAGCGTTTGGAAGGATGGAATTTCCATCAACCGAATTGAGAAAGAATCCGGGCAGAGCAAGTTTGGGAGTGGAACTCAGGAACTAGTTTTGGATCTAAGTTTGATTTGTTGATTAGTTGATCGATTGATTTTTAGTGGAACAAAAAAATGATGCATCTTAAAATCAATGGCAGCCCCAATTTTACAAAGTGCAATATTACTATTATATCTTGACTTTATTTTGATTTAGAACATGAGATATTACTGCAACATTAATTTTCCATATATTTAATCAGTTATCTCAGCACCACTGATTACATCATTTAGCTTTCCTCTATTAATTGCCATAACATTCTTTACTCACTATATCGTTCTTTTGGATGTTTTTCTATTGTTCCTTGGATTTTTTTGCTTATTCTTTTTTCCATATAATGATGTATTACCATTTTACCCTCATGACAAATTTCAATGCTTTATAATGCAAAGATCTTTCAATGCTTGCCCTCGCCTCCAAAAAAAATTCTTGTGTAGTCTGTTAATATATTCTGCTGATATTTATTATTTTTTCCAACTGTACTTATTTTCTATTCTTGCAAATGTATTACCACAAACTTAACAGCTTACAATGACACACATTTATTATGTCGTAGTTTCTGTGGGTCCAAGTTCCAGCCATGGAACTCTGGTTCTTCTCCTCTGGGTTTCACAAGACTGCAATCAAGTTGTTGGCCAGGCTGCATTCTCATTTGGAGGCTAGACTGGGAAAACCCCTCCGTGTTGGGGGGCCCATAGTTGGTGTATTAAATTAAGAATATGTAGATTCTGACCCACTGAATCAGGAGGCACAAGTCACTCACGTGGGATCAGCAGGTAGCTCACTCAGCATCAGAGCTCCCACTTCAGGGAAGTGAAAACCCCAGGGTCATTATGATTGAAGGCACAGTTTCAATACAATTATGCAAAGGAATAAAAGTCACAAGGTTTATTGCTTACAGATTCCAGAAACAAAACAGGGGAGTAGGAGGTGGGAGGGATGCAATGAGCTGGGGCAAGGGCAGTCCTCCGTCCCAGGTCATAAGCAATCAGGAAATAGTGAGCAGGGTGGCAAGCACCTATTACTTATAAGGTGACTGGGGATAAGGCTATTAATTTTTTGTGGACTCAACTCTAAGTGGTTCTTTTAAAGTTGCCCTGGGAAAAGCAAAGCAGGAACTTGTTGTGGGAATCCTAACCTCGAGTCCTTATCTAAATATGCAGATTCTGGATGTGAGTAGAGTTGTCATACAGCAAAACGCCTAGGCAGCAACTCAAAATACGAGGTTCTGACTGTTTTCTCATCACACCAACTTCCAAGCTCATTTAGGTTGTTGATGGAATTCACTTCCTTATAGCTACACAGTTGAGGGTTCTGGCTTTTGGCAGGATTTTGGCTGGAGGCCACTTTCAGGTCCAAGAGGCTGTCCATAGTTCCTTACCAGGTGGCCTTCTCCAACTTTGTGCTTACTCCATGAAGCCCACAAGAAGAGTGTCTAGCTTCAATTTGCTAAGATGGAGTCTTGTATAATGTAATGTAATCATGGGACTGACATTCCATCACCTTTGCTGGCTAGAAGTAATTCATAGGTTCTGCCCCCACTCAAGGAGAGGAATTTACACAAATTTGTGAACATTATAGGGTGGAAATCATTGGGGGTCACCCTAAGAACTGTCTGTTACATCAAGTTAAAAATCATGTCTCCTGGATCCTGATTAGAATAGTATTTAATTCCTCAATATAAACATCCAATTTCAAAGGTCCATGATTTATGGCATCAATGCTCTCTTCCAGTGCTTAAATACTGTGCCTTCAAAATATTTAATGATTCACACAGTCTCTCACACACATGTATAAACTCACACATTTTCATGTGGCTAAGGGGAATCATTGAAAACATTTAACAGCCAGCATGGCAATGGCGCCAACCTATTAGAGTAGACACCACTGCAACAGTTCATTCAGCATGGAACCAGGAAACAAATAACTTTTAAGGACACATACAGTAGCCTGTAGAGAACACTTAATACCTAGCAAGCACCAGGCTAAGCCTTTTAAAAACACCCTCTAGTAAATCTTTCAGCACTCTCATAAGGCAGGTGTTCCACCTACTCATTTGTGAGCCATCAGCCTCTTGGTTTGCTGATACTCTCTTTCAGTAGCCTTTGGCTCTAGTATCCCAAGGCAACTTGGGGAAATCAGAGGCCACAAGAACTCGTAAATTAAGTTGATTTGATTGACATAGGAAATCACCACCCAGCCCTGAATCAGGAAGGAAAACCTTTGCAAAGATATGATATCTGAGCCCCTCATTCTAATTACAGTATATTTTCCAGCTTCTTCCAAATTATTCCTCCCCTCTCCATTCACTACAAAGACTTGTGTTTCACTTAAAGAAAAAACATAGTGGCCTTGAGGAGAAGGCTCTTTTCTTAATTTCAAGGCACTTCTTTTCCGGAAGTTTGGAGGACATTTTGAAGACGCAGGGTGTTGCTTTCTTCTCCCACACTATACAGCCATATAAACCCCACAGATGAGTGCTCTTGGGTTGTAGCAAAGGTATTCTCATGGCATCATCTGGGACAAAATAAAAGCCACCATACACATGCAAAACGGTGGCTAAGAGCATAGACACCTGAGCTACACTGTTAGCTGGCCTCTCTGCACTGTGTTTCCTCATCTATATAATGTGGATAGTAGTAGCAGCCGCCTCCTAGGATTGTTGTAAGGATTAAATGAGTTAATTCTCAGTCATCATGTTACATAGCCTATCAGAACCTGACACACCCACTGACTCTCTCCTCACTGAAGCCATTTTTCCCTTGGCTTCCAGAATGCCACACTCTCCTGGTTTTCTTACTACCCCACTGACCATTCCTTTTCAGGTTCCATTGCTGGTTTCTCCCCATTTACCCAACCTCTAAACACTGGAGAGCCCCAGAGTCAGTCTTTGGTTCTCTTTTCTCTTTATTCTCACTTCCGAAATATCATGGCTTCAAGTATCATCTGTAGGTTATTAACTCCCAATGTTATTTCTCAACCCCTACCTGTCTTCTCAACTCTAGAGTTGTATGTCGAACAACATTCTCAGCACTTTCTCTTGGGTGCCTAAGAGGCATCTCAGTCTTAACTGTCCGATAATAAGCTCTTTATCAACCTCGCTTCCCCAATCTGCTCCTCCCATAGAACTCTCTTCCTCAGTGACTGGCAACGCCATTTGTCTAGTTGTTTACACTAAGAACCTCTCCAATGCCCCTCCCCAGTCCATCTGTAAAATTGAAACCTTGATTTACTTTAGTTGACTGGGATTTACCTGGGATCTGATTACGTCTTAGCTCCTCTATGGCTAGCATCCTAGTCCAAGGTTTTTCATTTCTCATCTGGATTATTGCAATAGTTTCTTCCTGGCGATAGTCATCTTTTCTGGAAATACAAAAACACATTATTTGCACGCTGTACTTATTTCTTTTTCTACTATTTTTTCATCATATTTTTTCATTGTGGGTGTTAATTTCTCTAATGAGAAAATCTTCCTAGAGGTTTAATTTCAAAATCTAAATGAAAGTTTGTCCCCAATGCCTGAAGACAAATGAGAAGAATAACCAACTACATAACCAATGAACAATTCTTTCAAAGGTTAAAATTTACATTATACATATAATTTAGAATACAGTACATATAATATAAATTGTATAATTTAAATATGTACACATATACATATTTTTATTTATATGTATGTATTTACTTTTAGTATATGTGTGTACTATATATCTATATCTGTATCTATGTCTATATCTATTTACTTATGAGTAATTTCATCAACTATAGAATAAAATAACCTAGGAATGGGAGAGACAAAATTACAGGAAAGACAGAATGCCCCAGAGCAAGTCAGGGTCTATAAAACCATGGTATAAACCACCCTTTGCCTCAACTCAGTGATTTCCTCCTTTTGTATCTTTCTTTCCTAAAGCCAGTAGAAATGCCATCTAAATCATCCAGTGATGATCTGTGGTCCTTTTCTGTATTATAACTTGTGAAAGACAAATGATGTCTCCATATGGAAAGCACTAATGTAATGTCATAATGTTTCCAGCTCCAAGCTTGTGTTCCACCCGCTATGGAATAGCCTTCCTCGCACATCTCTGCAACTTCACAATAATGGCACAAAATGTTATCATGAACATCTCCATGGTCACCATGGTCAACAGTACAGGCCATCAGTCCCAGTTTAACAACTCCACTGAGGGGCCGCCTGTTGACTCATTTGGAGGCCCAAATAATGCCCCAAAGAGTCTTCCTGAAGGGGTAAGCAATGCAAGATTTAAGTTGTGCTCTTATTTTTCTATTTGTTTGTTTGGACATTTGTTTTTCTAGAGTTTATAGATTAGAAAGTTTTAATTAAGAAAATAGTGATTTGAAAGCAAGCAAAAGTCTAAAGAGGCTTCTTAAGTTATGGAAGAGTCTTCCTGTGAATGGCTTACTACAGCCTTCTCTGTTTCTAGAAGGCCCCTGTGTATGACTGGAGCCCTCAAATCCAAGGCATCATCTTTGGTTCTATCAACTATGGCATGCTGCTGACACTGGTTCCCGGTGGATACCTGGCTGGAAGAGTAGGAACAAAACGAGTGCTTGGTTTTTCTTTGTTTGGATCCTCAATTCTTGGTCTCTTCACCCCTCTGGCAGCTGACCTTGGACTGGTTTTCCTTATTGCAACTCGACTTCTCCAGGGCCTAACCCAGGTAGCTAGGCATTTTATAAATATGAGCTGGATGTGAATTTCTATACGGTACCACGTATCAAGAACTCTGTTTTTATTTCAGGGATCAGTCTTTGGGGGTCAGTTTGCACTTTGGGAGAGATGGGGTCCTCCACATGAACGAAGCCGCCTCTGCTCCTTTGCTTTATCAGGTAAAAACATATAACTAAAGTGAGTCTGCCACAATCTCACATTCTCGCACTGGGTTCCTTCACAATTTTTCTGTTGCATGATTCTCTGTCTTCTCCTCAATGTTGATCAAGTATTTATCAATTAGAGAGATGGATCGTTTGTGACATGACTTTCAGTTATTTTTCCCTAGGTTGTCATTTGTAATGTGACTTTGCCTATACTGATTTTTTCCATTTTAAAAAAATATATTTTTCTAGTGTCAAATTGATCATTCTTTTCTTTTACGGCTTTTGAATTTTGAGTCATAGGTGGAAAGTTCATAAAAGCATCCACCAGTGGTTTTTCTTGAATTTGTATGATTCTGTTTTTATATTATTTTGGAGTTTATGCTAATATTCATTGTAAGGTATGGATCCAACTTAATCTTCTTTGGAATTGCTCTCAGTTTTCCTGAGAATTTCTTTCTGATAAGGATCTGCCTGAACAGTATACCTGGAATAAATATTCTGGAGGGAGAAGCTTAGGTTATATCAGGGAAGAATGAAAAATGGAAAGAATATGGCTAACAAACAGGAGATTGCCTAAATGGGTGCTGGGAAGAAAAGAAGGGTAACTTTCTAGGCAACTTGTAGATATCAAGAGAGCCAGGGACTCTTCAAGTCCGGCAAACAAACCACACACACACAGACACATACACACACAGAGACACACACACACACACACACACACACACACTTGCACCCTACCTGACCTCATGCTCCTCTAGAGCCCTTAACAACCCTGGAGGATTAGTCTCTGTCATCAGAGCTTGTATTCACTGATTAGGGAATGGAGGCTCCAATTTGGACTAAAGAAACTCACTTCAGTTAACAAAACTAAGGGAGGTCCTCAAATATAAAGAGAATTGACCTCCATAAATCCTCAAACATTTGAAGGAAACCAAGAGCATGAAAGAGAGAGACCAAACCCAAAACCATAAGAACAAGTCCAAATGAAAAATAAATTAATAAAGGAATTAGAAGAAAATTTTAAATAATTGACAAATAACATCAGAGAAATCCAAGGGAACATGGGTAGGCAGCATTTGTTTAAAAAGAACAGATTGCGTAAAAAACAGTTACTGCTAATTAAAAATATGATTGCCAAAATTTTTAATCAAAATGAGTAATCTGAATTTCTAAATGAAGGGAGATGACCGTTAAATTAGTGAATTGGACAGATAGGTTGAGGTATTATCCCAGAATACAATGCAAGAAAATCAGGAGTTGGAAAACAAAAGAAAATTTAAAAGACTTGGAAGGAAGACAGTGATCTTATACAAGGGGCAATGCCCTTTCCTCTCATTGCTTATTATACAACGATAGAGCAACTGGAATAGGTAAACTGAGAGTGACTAGAGGAATCTTAGAAACCTACAAGACTGCAAGTTCCAGAGATCTCCTTGTGTTTAGTGTTGGAGGAATATCTTGGCATACCCAGGCAGGTGGTCTTTTCTGGCCTTTAGAACCTGGTTCAGAGAGCACAGAGCCTTTGGCTGTCTGAGAGAGTCCAATAGAAAGTCCCTGGAGGAACCCATCAACAGGTGGAGTAGACAGAATCTACCTGCTTACCTCAGTAGTTCTTATACAAACTGCCATTTCCAGTGATACTGGGGTTCCTCAGCAGGCTGCACTAGTGAACAGGATCACTCAGCCCATGAGGTTGGAGGAGGACTCCCCAAAAAAGGCTCCTGCCCTCAGTGGAAGGGCCCAGGTACTGCCAGCCTCTAGGAAAAAATGGATCTTCCTCTAAGGGGGCCCACAGTGGCACATCTATAGGCAGGAAAGTTTGTAGCCACTTAAGGAGCTCAATAACTTAAGAGAGGAGGACTAAGTAGCCCAAACAGAATTGCCAGCTCATATTTGAGACAGGCCTCATAGATGATGGAAACACATACATACACACAGGCACACACCCCTTTAATCTAAAGATGATGCAATATCATACAGCAATGAAAATGAAGAAACTATAGCTGCATGCAATAACATGGGTAAGTTTTAGAAACACAAATGTTGAATGAATAAAGCATGTCTAAAATTGCCTTAATGCAATGGAAGCCCCAGGTATACTACCAGGCAAGCTATCCCAGAGGTCATGGAACAGATAGGCTCACAGGCCAAATTAGGTACTATAATTGCACAGTTTGTTAAACCACAGAGTGAGAGGTAAGATGCAAAATGGGGTAAATTAACACATTTAAGATAGGGTGCAACCAGGTGGAAGGACCACACCACCTGAGTCAAGCATGCAGAATGTTCAAACACTATCTCTCTGTCTGACTCTATCTCTCTATCTCTCTCTATCTCTCTGTTTCTTTCTCTGCTCCATCATCCTTCCCACTGATGGTGTGGATATGAGAACCAGCGTTGGGCTTCAAGCAAAAGAGCCCACAGAGGGGAGGCATCCTGGGCCAATGACACACACTCACTCTATGGGAGAGAAAATGGGATGAGTGCAGCTGACCACAGCTCAGTTTACTAAGTAACCTATTAGTGTCATGGGTTTTATTTATGTTTCTTACACAGAGGACGCAAAGGGCCAGAATGGGTATTCCCAGTGGATGGCTAAATTAGGCCTTCACAAATATTGCGTCAGCAATGCTGTGCTGGTAAACAGGCTCTGTAGGAAGAAAAAAAAAAAAGCTGATTTATAGTATTTATCAATTTCTGTTCTCTAAATACTCCCACTATGGCTGATTTAAAGATATCCACCCTAAGTCACTGAATGCAGGGTTAGGAAGAGGTGTTCACAATGAAATTTCACCAGCTCCAGCACTCCACTGATTGAGTGCTCATATGCCCTGAGAATGTACAGGGTCTCATGTTTATAATTATTGCCTGACTAATGTTATGTGTCTTTTGGTCTTTGTATCTTTTTCTGTCTATATTCAAAGACAAACATGTTATTTTTAGTAAATTACTTGTCTTTAATTAACACAGCTTATAAATCTCGTCTCTCTGTCTCACAATCTGCTGACTTAATCATTGTCTATACCTAATATATCTTAGGATATTTTCCTGTGTCTTATAAGATGAATTTATTCATCTTCTATGGTAGAAATAAAAATTCTCGAATAATAAAGCAAGGACACATTACAATGTCCTAGATGAGAACATCCAGGATGATATCACCTTAATAAAGATCAAAAAATCAAAACAAAACATACGCATTAGGTATACATATACATATACGATTCATATATATATCGTATAACATATATATGAACAACATATATGATACAGTTCTCATACACAGATAGATAGATATGTTTGAGCATTAAGTGATTCACCATGCACATAAATCAAGTATTAGCTGTGAACTACAATGCATCTGAATGGAGATCAGATTACAGTCTGGCATTCAGTGGGAAAATGAGATATAACAAGGCATACTGAAACTTCTCAGTACATATACAGTGGTACATATACAGACTATATTTAAAGCCCTGGGACCGAATGCTATCACCCAGACAAAGAACATAGATGGAGAAGAAAACTAAGGAAAGAGCTCTGAAGCCTCCAAAATTCAGGTCTCCAACAGAGGAGGATAAGAGGCCAGTAGAAGGGGCTAAGAAGCTTCCTATGAGGCCACTGGACAACATTCAAGCAGAGGTGAAGGGTGAGCTGTACCACAAACTGCTAGGGTTGAGCAAATAGCCGTGGGTTTGGCAAGCTGAAGGTCATTAAAGGCCTTGACAAGAACCATGGCAATGTGGGGTGCGCGGGGGGGAGCGGGGCGGGTTGGAAGAGTGTTTGGAGTTGGCTGAGGAAGGAAAGGAAGTGGAAGCAGTAAGCACAGCCTTTTGAGAAGTTTTGCCCTGAAGAGAAGCAGAGAAATGGTAAAGTACACGGAGCCTCTGAAGAGGTCGAAAGTTTTTTGTTTTGTTTTGAACATGGGCTTTATGAAGGTACGTTTGCATGTGGATGGGAGAGATCCAGGAGTTGAGGAAGTAAGTGAGGATGCAGAAGTGAAGTGCATTCTCAGAGTACCTAGGTCTGGAGCAGATTGGAGGAGATGTGGTCCAGAAGACAAGAGGAGGCCTGGTCTTGAATGAATGCAAGAACCTGTCCTCCATCGTAACTGGAGTAAAGGCAGAAGGTTCAGGGAAAAGATGCAGATTTGGTGGACTTAGTGGTGGAAAATGCACTGATTTCCATCTTCATCTATTGGTGCCCTGAAATCATGCAGCCTCATTTCAAATGCTGCCTTTCCTTGTTATTAGCTGTGTGACTTTGGGCTAGTTATTTAACTTTTCCATGTCTCTATTTCCTAAATTCTAAATTTTGATACTAGAACTTAAAAGAAATAACACAGGTAACATGCTTAAATAAACAGCATGGCTAAATGAGAAGGAAAACATAAATGACCATTTTTTTTAACTATGAGATGGGGAAAACCCTTTTAAGCAAGGGAGTAAATCTACAAGTCATTCCAGAGGAGATGCATAGATCCCACCCCATAAAAGCTTACACTTGCTGAATTACAAAACGCACCATACACAAAGTTAAAGTTGTTTGAATAGAATTGTAGCCAGCATACTAGACAGAAGATTATTATTCATTGTACATAAAGATTCTGTAAATTGAGACAAAGTTAAACAAGCGAAAGAAAGAAAGAAAGAAAAAGAAAGAAAGAAAGAGAAAAAAGATTATGAACAGACAGTTCACAGAAGAAATAAAAATGATTAGCGGAGGAAAAAATATTCAGCTTCACTATAAAAAGGAAATAATGAGATTCTGTTTTACATTTATATTTGGAAAACTATTTTTATAGACTTCGAGGATGTCCTCATCCAGGAGATGAGGAAAAAACCAATATTTGTTGGCAATTTAATTTGGTATAGCCTTTTCGCAGAATACTTCAGTAGTAGCTATAAAAATTTAAAATGCACATAGTTTTTGACCTAACAAGTCTACTTATGATATTCAATTGTAGAGAAATAAATTATGTTTATGTTCAGAAATGATGATTAAGTTTATGTTCAAAAATAACAATAATTAGGTAGAATCTACAGTGACATGGAAGTACAAGAACAATTGTTAAATGAAAAAGGAATGTCACAGGCCAACAGGTGCATTATGATTCCATTTATTTAAAAATAATAACTCATATACATATATATGAAATTTGACAAGTTGATGTTAATGTTCATCTGGAAAATAAGAAAACATAATAAACAGTTTGAAAACGTTGTAAAAAAGAAATGTGCCCTACTGTATATGAGAATATTCTGTAAAGCTGTGGAAATTAAAAGTGTTAGTACACACTTATAGATAAATCTATCTAGCTTCCTGTCTGTGTATTACAGAAATGCATTTACAAAGAGAGAAGTGTGTGTGTAGATATACATTATGTACGTGTGCACAGAGGAAAAGGTATGCAATTATGTATCACATAACAAACAGTTGCTAATGGTTAACATTAGAGAGAAGAAGGGGAGTAGATTAGTGGGGCATGTGAGGGAAACTGGGTCTTTGTGGTAATTTACTTTTACAATAAGCACATATTATATGACTTGTATAATTAAAAGTTTAAAAAGTGTAAAATAAAGCATGGCTCTCATCTGCAATGTTACTAGGAAACAGCCAGAATAATGAATCCTCAGAAGAACATATGAACTAAATCGTAAATCTGAAGTTCATGTATTCCAGTATGCTCGTCTCCTTATGGTTTGGCGACAACTGCTCTATAACACGTTACTGTCATTCTGTAGGTTTCTGTGAGGTGGAGTCCAGAGGCCCATTGTTACTCTCTGTCCCTTTGCAGGAATGATAATGGGAGCCTTCACGGCCATCCTCCTGGGTGGTGTCATCTCTCAAGCCCTGGGGTGGCCTTTCGTCTTCTATATCTTTGGTAAGCTATTGTCTCCCCATTCGCAGGAGTTCATATTCAGAGAGATTCTTCTGAGCATCTATCTGTGTGTACTTTTCTGGAGGACATGAGTCAAGAGAGAAAAATCCTAGAAAAACAAAATGTCTTAATATAATATTAGGGAAAAACTAACCCACACCATCAAAGAATTTAGAAGCCCTCCTACCCATGATGCTATTAACCAACCCTAATGCATTATTAACACAAAATGACTGGGTACCCTCTTGCCGGCAGCAGGGGACAGGCTTGCAGAGCAGTGGTTGTGAGAGATGGGAGAAAGAAGTCCAGAGAGAGAGCTGCTGCTGTGGATTTTTAAGCACGGCAATGAAGGTCCTGGAAAAGGCTCAAGTTGCCTAAAGGAGAGAAAACACCAACTACCAATAGGATGAATTTTGCCTACTCCAGCATTTTCCCCCAGAGCCTTCCATTTAACTAATGGAAATCAAGAGCAACCTCTTCCTCCACCACTTCAGACTTCAGTAGCTTCTACATTCTGCTTTCAAATCTCCCCCCACCTTATGTGTATTTGTTTAAACATCTGTCTCTCTTTGTGGGCAAGATGAGCTCCTGGAAGCCAGAGATGAAGCCTTCTTGGTTCCTTGGACCCTGCAGTCTCTGGCACATAGTAAGGGCTGAATAAATATTTGTTGAATCAAACTTATGGAAGACAGAGTTACCCTTTCCGTGGCTCTGTCAGGAAGTGCTTACTAATAACTGTAACCTGACATTTTTCACTTGCCTTGGTGGGGTCTTTTGATATAACTTTCTTCTTAACCTAAGTTCTCAACACTCCTTCCTGTTCCTACACACTAATAGATTCTAGAAACACCAGGATGCTTTCCTTTACCAGAACAGCATCTTCACTGATGGGCTGTCATGGGTTTTCCTCACACGGCTCCCTCTGCCTGAGGGACCTTTCCCTGCTTCTGCAATTATTGATGTCCTACATCCTTCATGAGTCATCCTCCTGTGAAGCCTTTCTCTTTTCCTCATTTTAAATTATTCTTTTCTTCATGCTTACACAGTATTTTGTTCATAATTCACTTACTCTCCAATTCATGTCATACTTAGTACCATGTAGTCCATAAGTCTATCCGCTCCAGTAGACAGTGGACTCCACTGTGACCATGATAGATCTTAGTCGTCTTTGTTGTCCCCACCCCCTGGCAGTACTAGACATACTTGTTGAACAAATGAGTTAAACCTAATTGAATTGTTTAGAATTTTGCTCATGAATGTTTAAATTGCTTCATTTGTATGATGCTACAAATATTAAGCTAAAGTCAGACAGAATTATTTTTTTTTCTTTCTTTTTTTTTGCTGAAGAAGATTTGCCCTGAGCTAACATCTGTTGCCAATCTTCCTCTATTTTGTGTATGAGCCACCACCACAGCATGGCCACTGACAGACAAGTGGTATAGGTCCATGCCTGGGAACCAAACCTGGGCCACTGAAGCAGAGTACACTGAACTTCACCACAAGGCCACTGGGGCTGGCCCCAGAATAAATTTTTAAATAACAGTAATAATAATGACAATAGTAATTAACTATAAAATAATTACTATGTAACAGGCTCTAAAGGTTTTATGTACATTTTCTCACTTAACATTTAAATAACCATGTGAGGTTGGTATTATTATCTTCATTTTACCGATAAGACAAAGGAAAGAAAAGGTCTAAATGCAGGCTTGTCATGTTTATTGATTCTGCAGAAAGGGCAGCGAAACTTCGTTTCACTTCAAAATATTTTTCTTTAAGCCTTCCTGAATTCAAAATCACATCTTGTGTCTCTGTTTTTCAGTTTTAGACATTACCTTGTCATTTCAATGGCTTCAGTAATTTGATAGAGCAATGTGGGACAATAGTCTATGTGGGCCAGTCAATCCAGAATGTTCCTCAAGATAATGAACTCAAGTAAACATTTAATACTCTCTCTCTTTCTCTTTCTCTCTCTCATGTGTTCTCTCTCACTCTCACTCTCTGCTCTCTCACACATTTTCTCAAACACACATGTATAGTCACACACATACAACTGAAAAAATTTCATTCACTCAAGAAATAATTACTAAGATTTAATTCTATTCTTTTAGCATAAGTCTACCACAACCTATCTCTGATTAAAAGTTAAAATTCTGGACAAAATACAAAAAGCACAACCTGAAGACTCTGAAACAAAAACAGAAGTAGACAGATTGTGGAAAGAATTAAAAACTTGGAAAGGTGAGAGGCAAGGAATTGACTTTCCTTTTTTCTTTTTTTCTCATTTCTCTCACTGCTTTGCCCTGAGAGTGAGCCTAGTCACCATGGTGCAGATGAGTAAAATTCCAATAGAAATTCCATGTTTTTAAAAAGAGGAACTAGGAAAATAGACTCCTGCAAGCAGGATAGTGTATGGAAGAAAGAGGGGAAAGACCTGAAGATAAACATGCACAAGCTTTAGGATCACCCCTGAATTGCACATGCATGGGGCAGACCAAAGTGGATTAGCAAAGGCTGTAATAACTCCACTGATTTAAATCATGGTTCAAGTCATAACAATTACAATGTTCAAGATACAATTAAGAAATTTCTCAACATATGCATACCAGGAAAATACGACCAATTCTGAAGGGAAAAGACAATCTGTAGATGCTAGCCCTGAGGTTCCTCAGATATTAGAATTACCAGGTAAAGGTCTCAAAGCAGCCATTATAACCATGCTCTATAGGTAAAGTTAAATACATATAGGATGAATGGAAAGATAGAATTTCTTAGCAGAGAAATGTAAATTGTAAAAAGAGAACAATGTGGAAATTTTGCCAGTGAAAAATACATTATGTGAAACAAAAAATTCACTATATAGCTTTAATGAGAAAATGGAGATAATAAAAAAAGTCAGTGAACTTGAAGACAGAGCAAAAGTATATAATAGAAGGAAGAAAATAAAACATTTGGAAAAAATTAAGAGAGCCTTAAGAGCTAATGGGACAATGTCAAAAGAATCATATACATGTTATTAGAATCAGAGAAGAAGAGAAGAAAGAGTTCAGGGCTGAAACATATATGAAAAAATAATACCCTCAAAATACCCAAATTTGGCAAAAGACATAAATTTACTAATTCAAGAAGCTCCGTGAACACTTAACAGAGAACAAATTAAAGAAAATCATACTTAGATACATCATAATCAAAGTGCTGAAAAACGTTAAAGAAAAAATCTTTAAAAAAGCTAGAAAACAAATAAAACATTACACACAAGGAGACAACAACTTAAAAGCCACAGATTTCTTATTAGCAAATTTGGAGGCCAGAAGACAGTGGAAAACCATCTTTAAAGTGCTAAAAGAAATGAACTGTTTATCATGAATTCTATACCTATTGAAAATACCCTTCAGAAATGAGGGTCAAGGGGCCAGCCTGGTGAAGAGTAACATAAATTATAAATATATGATTGTATAAAAAAATACTATTTTTCTTAAGTTATTTACAATATGTATGATTGTTGAAAGTAAAGCTTACATCATTGTCTGGAGGTGTTTTCAATGTATGCAGATGTAAACTATATGTCAACTATAGCATAATGGCCAGTGGAGAGGGTAATGGAACCTATATATTTGCAAGACTTTTATATTTTGCTTAGAGTACTACAGTATTAACTCTAATACTATGACTAAATTAAGAATAAGAATAGATAGATATGTATATTGTATTCCCTAAAGCAGCAAATAAAAAACCATAGAGAGACATAGCCAAATTTCAAAAGGAAAACTACATTGGAATATTTAAAAATTCTAAATAAACTAATAGAAGGCAAAAACAATTGAAAGAAAAAAACAAAAAGTACATAGAGAAAGCAAAACAAAACAAAAAACAGATAAAATTGTAGATGTAAATCCAACCATATCAAGAATTATATTAAATATAAATGGCTTCAATAGATGAATTACAAAGATACAGATTTCAGACTGGATTTAGAAAGAAGGACAAAACTGTATCCTATTTTCAAGAAACCCACTTTAAATTTAAAGACATGGATAGACACAAATAAAACAGTGGACAAAGATGGACCAAGAAAACACTAATCAAGAGAAAACAGAGTGGATATATTAATATCAGCCAAAGATGACTTCAGAACAAGGACTATTACCAGGGATAAGGGTAGACAACAAATAAAGATAAAAGTGTTAATTCACCAAGAAGAGATAACAATTTGAAATGTATATGCATCTAACAAAAGGGCTTCAAAATATGTGAAGAAAAAACTAATAGAAGTGCCAGGAAAAATAGATAAATCCACAATTAGAGATTGTGGAAGACAGATGAAGTATACCTCATCTAGTAACAGTAGAATATTCTTTTCAAGTGTACTTTGCACATGCACCAAGATAGTCAATCTTATGACTCATAAACAAACTTTAACAAATTTAAATGAATAGAAAATTATACAAAATGTGTTCTTTGAGCATAATGGAATTAAACTAAAAATCCATAACAGAAGGATATCTAGAAATGCCCCAAATATTTGAAAATTAAATAACACACTTCTAATGGGTTAAAGAAAAAGACACAGGGAAATTATTTTTTGAGGAAGATTAGCCCTGAGCTAACATCCACTGCCAGTCCTCCTCTTTTTGCTGAGGAAGATTGGCCCTGAGCTAACATCAGTGCCCATCTTCCTCTACTTAACATGTGGGATCCCTCCCACAGCCTAGCTTGATAGGCTGTGCATAAGTCAATGCCCAGGATCCAAACCAGCAAACCCTGGGCCACTGAAGCAGAGCGCATGGACTTAACCACTGCGCCACTAGGCCAGCCCCACAAGGGAAATTTTAAAATTGAATAGAATGAAAATGAAACTCAATATACCAAAATTGTGGAATGCAGCTAAAGCAATGCTTAGAGAGAAAATTTTAACATTGAACACTTACATTAGAAAAGACAAAAGGTTTCAAATTAAGGATCTACACTTACACCTTAAGAAGGAAAAAAAGAAAAGCTAACTAAACCCAAATCAATAGAAGAAAAGAAATAAAAATAAAAGCAGAAATTAATTAATTCAAACAGAAAAATAATCAGTAAAACTAAAAATTGGTTCTTTGAAAAGATCAATAACATAGATAGATAGGTGAAGTAGATAGATATTATAGATAAATAGAAGATAGAGAAGATACAGATAACCAATATCAAGAATAAAAAACAGACATCAATACAGACCCTACAAATGTTAAAAAAAATCATAATAAATGGATATTATGAAACACTCTATGCCCATAAATTTAATCATTTGGATAAAATGGACAAATTCATTGAAAGATATAAAGTAACAAATTTCACTCGAGAAGAAAGAGGTTATCTGAATATTTCATATATATTAAGAATTTGATTTTGTAGTTTAAAGGTTTTGAACAAAGAAAACCCCAGACCCATATGATGTCAGTGGAAAATTTTACCAAACATGTAAAAAATGATACCAATTTTACACAAATTCTTCCTGAAAAAGGGAGAGAAAACACTTTATGAATCAGATTGTGAAGCCAGAAAGACTAAAGAGTCCCCCTTGATACTCAGCAAAGCACTGATCAGGATGTGCGTGAAGACGTCATCTGAGCCCAGGGGGAAAAGTCTTTGGAAAAGATTAAAGAACAGTGTCCACTACTTACAGAAAATCAGATGTAGTGCCTGTTCCCACAAGACAGCCTGAAAAAATGTATAATTCATGGGTGATTGGGCAGAATACTCATAAAAGCCTTTCCTAGTAGTAAGAAATAACTAGCTCTAGAGGGAGCACTATTGTATATCCCTCTCACAAATGATGATGGCAAGACCTAAATGGATCAAACTGTGTCCACATAACTGCACCCCAGAACAAAGCTCAAAAGTATTTACAGAAACACAAAAATATTCAACACCCAGCAAGGTATACTTCACAATGTCTGGCTCCATGGAAAAAAGGCAAGAAAACACAATCCACAATAATGAGAAGAATAAAACAATCAAAACCAACCCAAAGCTGACATAAATGTTAAAATTAGCAGACAGGAGCATTAAATTAGACAGTTATTATAACTGTATTATAAGTCTATTTATTCAAAAGTTAAATAGAAACATGGAAAATATTTTTTAAAAGACCCAAATCAAACTTCTGGAATTGAAAACTATAGTATATGGATAGAATTAATGACAGATTAGACACAATAGAAGAAAGATTAATGAACTTAAAAATAGCAATAGAAACCATCCAGAATGAACCACACAGAGAAAAAAAATAATAATAAGGAAATGAGAACAGCAGTAAGGTGTGGGGTGCCCAATGGTGAGGAACAAGATGGAGGAACAGAAAAAAATATTTGAAGAAATAACAGAAGAAGAAATGAAGAAATAATTTCCAAATGTTAACTCACAGATTCAAGAAGTTCAATGAACCTCAAGAAACATGAAGAAAACTACACTAAGCTACACAATAATCAAATGGTTCAAAACCAGTGAAAATCAAAACCAGGTAAAATCTTAAAAACAGCTAAGCTAAAAAACATGTTATATACAGACTAACAAAGAAGATGATGCAGCTTTCCGGTCAAAAGCAATGCAAGCAAGAAGGCAATGGAATGACATCTTTCAAGTACTGCAAGAAAAAAAACCAAAACTGTCAACATAGAATTCTAGAGTCAGAGAAAAAATTTTCAAACCAAAGGCAAATAAAGGACATTTTAGATATATAAAAATTGAAAGAATCAGAAACCCAAATTAAAGAAAACAGTATCATTTTCAATAGCATCAAAAAAATGTTTAATACAGAGATAAATCTGACAAAAGCTGTGAAAGATTTATGCACTGAAAATTCAGGGCCAGCCTGGTGGCGCAGCAAAGTTCACATGTTCCACTTCGGCAGCCCAGGGTTCAGCAGTTCAGATCCTGGGTGTTGACCTACACACCACTTATCAAGCCACACTGTGGCAGGCATCCCACATAAAAAATAGAGGAAGATGGGCATAAATGTTAGCTCAGGGCCAATCTTCCTCAGCAAAAAGAGGAAGATTGGCAGCAGATGTTAGCTCAGGGCTAATTTTCCTCAAAAAAAAAAATTAATAAATTCTCATGAGAATAAAAGATCCTAGAATAGCCAAAGAATTTTGCAAATGAATCACAAAGTTGGAGGACTAATACTGCCTGATGTCAAGACAAAATTACAGTCATCAAGACATTGTGGTATTGGTATAAAGACAGACAAATAGACAAGTGAAACATAATGCAGACATAAATAGACTCACATATAAAAGGTAAACTGATTTTTGACAAAGATTCAAAGGCAATTCAGTGAAGAAAGGATAGTCTTTTCAACAGACGGTGCTCAAAAATTGGATATCCATGTGCAAAAAAAAAAAAGAACTTTGATCCATGTCTTGTGCCCTATACAAAATCTAACTCAAAATGAATCCTGGGCCTAATTGTAAAATCTGAAATCATTATCCTTCTAGAAGAAAATAAATGAGAAATTTTTTATTCTTTAGGTAGGCAAAGATTTCTTAGATATGCCACCAAAGGCTTGATCCATAAAATAACAAATTGATAGATTGGATTTCATCAAAGTCAAAAACTTCTCCTCTTCAAAAGGCATTGTGAGAATAATAAAGAGACAAGCCAAGATAGGGAGAAATACTTACAAAACATATGTCTATATATATAAAATAAGGAATTTTATCCAGAAAGTATAAATAATTCTCAAAACTCAATAATAAGAAAAAAAACAATTAAAAAATGGACAAAGACACTTCACCGAAAAAGATAGAGAGAGGGGAAATAAGCACGTGAAAAGGTGGTCAACTCAATATCCTTAGTCATTAGCAAAATGCAAATAAAAATGACAATGATACACCTCTGCACACCTATTAGAATGGTTAATTATGACATAATAAGAAGTATATATAGTGTCTGCTCCCAGTTCCTGACACAGAGCTCCTAAAATCCTTGTAATTTCCTAAGTGATGGGGATGACAGGAGCATCTTACACAGAGTTCCTAAATCCCTTGGAATTCCCCAAGTAATAGGAGCATCTTTTGTTCTAATAAGGTAACTCTTTGTGGCCTGCTGGATAGTTTCAGGATGGAGGCTGGTCACCAGAAAGACCAAGCCATGATTAGAAGCTTGGAACTTTTGACCCCACCCTCCATTCTCTGAGGAGGGATGGTGGCTGCAGAATTTGCTAATAATCAATTATGCTTACACGATGCAGCCTCCAAAACATCCCTAAACGATGGGGTTCTGAGAGCTTTCAGGTTGGCAAATACATCCACGTGCTGGGAGGGTGGCACACTCCAACTTCACAAGGTCAGAAGCTCCTGTTTTCTGGACCCTTCAGGACCTCTCCCTTTGTATCTATTCATCCGGCTGTTCATCTGTTTCCTTTATCATATCCTTTATAATAAACTGATAAACATAAGTAAATTTTCCTGAGTTTTGTGAGCTGTTCTAGCAAATTATCAAACCTAAGATGGAGTTGTGGGAACCTCTGACTTGGTAGTCAAGCCCAACAGAAGTGTAGGTAACCTGGGGACCCGCTACTTGGAATTGATGTCTAAAGTGGGGGGCAGTCTTGTGGGACTGAGCCCTTACTATGCCAGGCCGTGTCAGAGTTAAGCTAAACTGTAGGATACCAAGTTGGTGTCCACAGAGAATTGGAGAATTGCTTAGTGTGAAAAAACCCCACACATTTGTTTTCAGAAGTGTTGTGAGAAGAGAAATAGTTCTTCCTTTACTAATATTAAAAAGGTTGAGATACCAAATTTGTGCCATTCCTAGGGTCTGTGATTTCCACATGCACAAATAATCAAGAAATGTAAAGGACTGGGTTCTAGAAAGCTGTGATATTCATGTGAATTTTTTTGAGAAATGGAAAGGGGTTATTATGAGCAAGAGCTTTTCCCAAGACCTGTACCAGAAAATGTCCCAATGTAAAAAAAATTGATATAGAAGGCAGAAATCAGCTCAGTTACCAATTTTACCCTCTGCTTGCAGGAGGCATTGGCTGTGTCTGCTGCCTTCTCTGGTTTGTTCTGGTTTATGATGACCCTGTCTCACACCCATGGATAAATGTCACAGAAAAAGAATACATCATATCCTCCTTGGCCCAACAGGTACACGTAAGGACTCCAACCTTCTCCAGCTGTGTTGTATCAGCATCTGGATTTCTCAGGGTGACTAAGAATGTGTGACCATGTCTCAGATCTTACTATTCTGATCAGTAAATTTATTTTCAGGTCAGCTCTTCTAAGCAGTCTCTTCCCATCAAAGCTGTGGTCCGATCGCTTCCCTTTTGGTCCATTTGTTTTTGCAGTTTCAGCCATCTGTGGTTAATTAACATATTTATTGTATACACACCAACTTACATCAGCAGTGTGTTCCATGTTAACATCAGAGATGTGAGTATATGTCCCCTCAACCCTTACTCCTATTAGCATGACTCACAATTACTCTGCCTTCACAAATCATTCCATTTAGAAAGCTTTATCTTTTATTACCAAGAAATAATCTAATATTTAATACTCATGCCCGTAGCTTTTCTGAGGATGTGATTGAAGAGGCTACTGATTTTCTTAAGAAAGTGTGATTACAGGATTGTCAGTATGATTATCAGTGATTCATCAATAAAACATGTGGGCTCGCTGCCTTTGTTATGATGGTTTACTCAAATTTTTCCCCTCAGAATGGGTTCCTGTCTGCCCTTCCCTTTATTGTTGCCTGGGTCATTGGTGTCCTGGGAGGCCACCTGGCAGATTTCCTTCTGACCAAGAATTTTAGGATTGTTACAGTCAGGAAAATTGCTACAGTTCTTGGTAAGAACAGGGCCTAAGGGTCAGTAACTCATAAAGCATACACAATGGCCAAAGATGTCTCATTGTTTAATTTGTGTGCTCTTCATTCCCTAGGAATTCTCCCTCCCTCAGCATTCCTGGTGGCTCTGCCTTACCTCACCTCCAGCTATATCACAACAATGACCCTCCTGACGCTGGCTTGTGGACTAAGCTCATTATGTCAGACAGGGGTCTATATCAATGCCTTAGATATTGCTCCAAGGTAAGACTCCAATCTCCACTCTTATTTTCACCTTTTTTGAGAAAAATTTAGCCTGCTTAGCTTTCAGGGAGCCCTAAACTTTGGGAAATAATAAATCATGGGCAAGGACAACAGATAGACCTGTGGCTGTTTTTTTCAGGTATGTGGGGGAGGGGTAATATTGATGTGTCTTTGAGCCTTTCGTGGAACACACATAGCACAAGTAGTTTTGGGTATAATTATATGAGGGATTCATACACAGAGAAAGTCTGAAGAATACTGTCAAGCATCTCTAGATCTAGCCTGGAACATTCCTGTCACCCACAGATACTCCAGTTTTCTCACGGGAGCCGCAAGGGGATTTGCACAAATAGCAGCTGTCCTGGCACCCACTGTTAGTGGATTTCTCCTCAGTCAGGTAGAGTTTTCCTGTCAAGGACTCTTAAAATGCCCTTCCAAATCCACTCAGAAAGGTAATAGCGTAAAGAATGTGTTCACATTTTGAAAAACAAAATTAAATTGTAAGTAACTTAGTCATAAGGTCAGTCTGGCAAAGAAAAATATAGAACAATTTCTTTCTGGACCTCCATCTTTACTCATTCTAAAGCCAAAGAACTAACTAGTGATCCGCTAGTAATATTCAGTCTTTGAAACTGAAACCACACAGCCACAGAGATTTCGTGAGATGATGATTCTGTGCATGAATGCAACTGGCCATGTCTTCTGCAACACTTTGAAATTTTCATTTGCCTAACCATGCAAAAGCAGAGATAATGAAAGTAAATATGTTTAAGTGTCTGATACATGCAGGTGTTATTATAGGTATTTTATATGCAGTAATTTCACTTAATTATTGATTCTTACACCAATTGTGAAAGTGGAATATTATTATCCTCATTTCCCGATGATTAAACTAAAAATCTGATAAAACAAATCTTTCCGCTAAGAAGATATAGAATCAGAATTCTTCCAACTTAGACCTGTCTCGCTCCAAAGCCCACAATCTTTTCACTATGCCATCACAATACAAGACGAACTTTGAAAACATTCTTAGTATATTTTATGCTGTTATGATTCTCACGAAAGAAAAAGTGTATGGCACTTTGATAAATTGTGACAAATGCAGTTCTGTAGGTTAATCGTAAAGGTCCCTAAATCCCTTTTATCAAGAATATTCTGAATGTATTTTGAAATTCTTTCCATGCAACTATCCATCCACTTTCAGGAAATGAATTTCTTCATGGACACTCACTAGAGAGCATTGTCTTCTAAACTATTAATATGAATTTCATAGAAAACAGGATGAAAGGGATAATATTCACTTGAGGTTTTGTGTCCCCAGGACTCTGAATTTGGGTGGAGGAATGTCTTCCTCTTGATGTTTGCCATTAACCTCTTAGGACTGCTCATCTACCTCATATTTGGAGAAGGAGATGTCCAAGACTGGGCTAAAGAGAGGAAACTCACTCGTTTATGAAGGTAAAGGATAATGATTTCATCTATGGTTATAGCCACAGAAATACTACTTAAATTTTTAATTCTATGTCATTTTTCTTTCTTAGTAATTCCACCTCAGATGAAAAGTCTTTAGGCACCTTATTCATAAATGAGAAGGCTTCAGTGATGAAAATACCAACAGAAAGAATTGTGTTCGCTGTGGCTCTTTTCAAATCCAAGATCAGTTCTTTATTTTACTCAGATTTATTATTGAGGAAAATATAAGCTGAATGAAAATTCAAATAAAATGATAGCCAACAACAAAGTTGTCATCTTCATAGAATTAACAATGGATTCGGAGGAGCTGCCATGCAGGAGCCAATAGGCTCCATTCACAGTTTCTGGATCTCGAAACAGGAAATAATGTTTTGAAATTCTCAATCTAGGGTGGTAACCTCACTAGGGCAATGATTTTTCCTGTTTGTGAAAATGATTATTAATTTATATTTGTTGGGCTGGATATTGTTAATGTGTTCCTCCCTTTGTGCGCTACACTCTACTTCATCCTGTGCAGGCCAAGGAGGCTGACCCGCATGGCTTGCATCCCACCCTCCTTTGTCCAGTGGCTTCTGCTGGATTTCAATGGAGGTCGGAGAGTGAGGACAGGGAGTATCTATCTTTAAGTTTCCTCCTTATAGGGTCTGGAGGTGGCTGATCCTTCCACTACCGTTCACGGCTCCTGGCAGGTAGCTACTCCACATGTTCTGGTAACTTCTCTCTTCCCCTGTCTCTTCAAGTCCTTTTTTTTGCCTTTATTTTGCTAGCTCTGGGAAATCCACAGTATCTTAGGATTTCCTTACCACCTTCCCAACCCTGTGTAAAATGTCTCTTTTAACACTGTGCTCAAATTACTCAGTGTAAGTCTGCCATGTTTTCCTTCTGAGATGCAACTAATTCCATGGTCAAATCATATATAAAGCTTCAAACATCAAATGTATCAGTATTTTTGTAAAATGACAATTCACAGGTATCAGTGGGTCAGAGCATGTTCAGAGGGGCCAGGACCATGTTCTAGGTTGCTTCTTGTGGTGATCTCTACCATGCAGACAGAGACTACAGCCATCAGGTCATTTTGTATAGAGGTGATGTAATGGACATTAGTTATGAGTGAAAAATTAGGGCAAGGATATTGAAAGTCAAATCTAAATAAATTCAATAATTGCTGAGATCTTGCTATAGTCTAGAGTCTAGGCCCTTGGGATAGTAAATTAAATTAGACACAGTCACTATGCCCCATTCTAATATGGAGGACAGACATAATAATAGATGACAGTGCATGTCTTAGTTACAATAGCAGGGGGACATGCAGGCCATCATGGGAGACCAGATGAAGGGTTCCAATCCCGAACTGGAAAGCACAGGGGAGATCTCCTTCAGCAAGTAATTCCTGAGCTAAATGTTAGATAGGAAGTAGTATGGTAAGATTTCCCACACTGGCGCACAACTTGTGCAAAAGCATGAAAACAAGAAACAGAATGGGTTCTGAAGGGAATCACCTGCTTGCGTGGTCAGTTATGAAAGTACAGAAGATGAGTTTAGGGAAATGGGCATTACCACAGCATGGAGGTCTTGTCTGCCATGTTAGGGAGCTTGAGGGGTATCTTACAAGCAATAGTGACATGAGCAGATTTTGTCTCTAGATAGAACACTCAGCCCCAATTGCAGAATCAGCAAGACTAGTTAAATGACCACCTGTGCAATGGTCCACACAGCATTGGTGAGGACTTAACTAGGGTAGGCAGAGCTAAGATGGAGAGAAGAAGAGAGACAGGAAAAATGTTTAGGAGGTAGAATTGAAAGATCATGGCATTTGGTTAGCTGGATACAGGAGAAGAGAGCAGTTAAGGAGTCTTGGGTCTTTAACCTGAGAGACTGGATACAGAATGGTCTGAACAATTAAGCCAGAGAATGCAGGAAGAGGAGGCCCTTTCAGAAAGAAGATAATGAGTTGACTTTGGGACGTGTTGTGTTAGTGGTAATAGTGGGATTATCGAGTGGGCATATCTATTAATTTCCTGGGGCTGCCATAACAGAGTACCACTAACTAGTGGCTTAAACAACAGTGATTTTTTTGTCTCACAGCTCTAGAAGTCTGAAATCAAAATCTCAACAGAGTTGGTTCCTTCTGAGGGCTGTGAGGGAGACTCTGTCCCATGCCTCACTTCTGGTAGCCTCAGGCATTCCTTGACTTGTAGATGGCTTTCTCCCTGTGTCTTCATATCATCTTCCCTCTGTACATGTTTGTCTCTGTATCAAAATGTCCCCTTTTTATAAGGACACTGGTCATATTGGATAAAGGCACACCTTAATGACTTCATCTTAACTTGATCATCTACAAAGGCCCTATTTCCAAATGAGGTGACATTAACAGGTACAGGGAGTTAGGACTTCAGCATCTTTTGGGGAGACACAATTCAACATAAAACAGCAAGCCCAACAAACAGCCAGACCATAAATCTGAAACTTGTAGAAAGGGACTGGGCTGGAGACAAAGATATAGGAGAAAAGAGCAGATGTTCAGCACTAAATCCTGGAATGTTTCATGCTCAGAGAGTCTGTGATTGGAAAAGCACCAAACCAAAGACAGAATGTCAACACTAAAGGAGTGAGCAGAATAAGAAATCCCCCCTCATAACAGAGATGAAAAAGGCAAGCTTGCACATATGAGGAACAATAGGAGGATACTGCTATCATGGAAACTCATAAACATGGATGGCCTTTAAGAAAGATGACATGTCAGCAATAACAAGTATAGTGGAGTTCAGTTAGATGAGGTCAGGAAAGGAACCCAGTCATCTTCTGATTAGTTTACTGGTAGCTTTTTCAAGGCACATTTATCAGAGATGTGTGTTTGCAGGTCAGTTTGCAGTTTGCTGGTGAGTGAATGGGAGTTAGAAAATAGAGAAAGCAAGACAAATATTTTCACAAAGTTCAGTTGGGAAGAGAGGAGATGGGAAGATAGCCAGAGGAGGATACAGGAAAAGGACGAGTGACCTAAGGGGGAAAGGGACTGGCCCATGGGAGGCTTTGGGGAAGAAATAGTGGAGTGGGAGTGAAGTTGTAGAATGATAGGGCAAAGAGATGGAGCAAGGTCTTGAAGGACACAAAAAGGACTCTGATGCAGGAGTTTAGAAAGAAAATATAAAATCAGAAATGTAAATTTTCTCTTTAAGAAATGGAGTCCAGGAAACCATCAACAAAATGAAAAGGCAACCTATGGAATGGGAGAAAATATTTGCAAATAATATATCTGATAGGGGGCTAATATCCAAAATATGTAAAGAGCTCATACAACTCAATAGCCAAAAATAAAAAAATTGATTAAAAGATGGGAAGAAAAGGGGCTGGCCCCGTGGCCGAGTGGTTAAGTTCGCGCGCTCTGCTGCAGGTGGCCCAGTGTTTCATTGGTTCGAATCCTGGGCGCGGACATGGCACTGCTCATCAGACCACGCTGAGGCAGCGTCCCACATGCCACAACTAGAAGGACCCACAATGAAATATACAACTATGTACCGGGGGGCTTTGGGGAGAAAAAGGAGAAAAATAAAATCTTTAAAAAAAAAAAAAAAAGATGGGAAGAAAAACTGAACTGACATTTTTCAAAAGAAAATATGTAAATGGCCAACAGGTACATGAAAAGGTACTCAACATCACTAATAATCTGGGAAATGCAAAACCAAACCACAATGAGGTACCACCTCACACCCGTTAGAATAGCCATCGTCAAAGGGATAAGAACAAGTGTTGGTGAGGATGTGGAGAAAAGGGAACCCTTGTGCCCTGTTGCTGGGAATGTAAATTGGTGCAATCACTATGGAAAACAATTTGGAGATTCCTCAAAAATTTAAAATAGAACTACCATATGATCCAGCAATCCCAGTTCTGGGTTTATATATCCAGAGGAAATGAAAATAGGATCTCAAAGAGATATCTGCACTCCTGTGTTCATTGCAGCACTATTCACAATAGCCAACACATGGAAACAACCTAAGTTTCCATCAATGATGAGTGGATAAAGAAAGTGTTTTTTATATATATATATATATATATATATATATATATATATATATACATATATATATCTCCTGTGGAATATTATTCAGTCATTATAAGGAAGGACATCCTGTCATTTGCACAACAGTGAAGTACGTCAGACAGCGAAAGACAAATACTGTATGATATCACTGATGTGGAATTTTAAAGAGCCGAAGTCGTAGAAACAGAGATTAGAACGGTAGTTACCAGGAGCTGGAAGACCGGGGAAAAGGGGAGATGTTGGTCAAAGGGTACGAACTTCCAGTTGTAAGCTGAATAAGTTCTGTGGATCTAATGTACAACATAATGATTAATAGTTAATAATACTGTATTATATACTTTACTGTTCCTAAGAGAGTAGATCTTAAATGTTCTCACAAAAAGGAAATGGTAATTGTGTGACGTGATGGAGGTGTTAGCTAACACTTGGTGGTAATCATTTTGCAATTATATAAGTGTATCAGATCAATAGGTTGTACACCTTAAATGTACATAATGTTATATGCCAATTATATCTCAATAAAGCTAGAAAAATAAAAAAAGAAAGGGAATCCATTTTCTTTCTCTGTAAAATGCCTGCTAACTACACTTGTTAATCTAGATTAAGGACTTCCAAAGATACATTTTTGTTTGGTGAACGCTCTTTGTTCCCTATGATCTTGATGTTGTAAAAGGAAAAGACAATTCACCTGGTGCTAATGAAACCTATAAGTTTTCCCTGTTATAACCTAAAAGCTCCATATACTTATATCAACTGTAAGACCTTGATTATAAATGCATTAATTATTAAAATGTCTAATGTGAAAAGGAAACATGATGGGCAAGAGAGACTTTCCCTCCTGCTCTTCGTATGTGCTCATCTTGCTTATTTCTGAATTCCGCAATTGGGGTCATTTGGCCAGAAGTGACCAGTTTCCTCTATAAAGGATTCAGGCATCTGACCTCCCCATTTGAGCACATATATGACCAGAGATGCACTGACTTAGCATGGGTTTCTGCTAGTTTTTCTTTTCTGTACCCCTGCCTTAAGTCTGTATACTCTGATCTCCCTTCATGACTTTGTGTGCAAGCAGTTCATTACCAGGCATACACATAGCCTCTAATACAACATATTTCATACACTAATTTTAGTGTAATTTTTTATAGGATAATCCACATGATACTGGGAGTGAGCTGTTTAAGGGTAAGATTACTGAGCTATTTTATGAAGATAGGAACTTTTCAGG